TCTCTCTCTCTCTCTCTCTCTCTCTCTCTCTCTCTCTCTCTCTTTCTCTCTCTCTTTCTCCCTCTCTCTTCCTAAATTGGATCGTGAATTACAAGCTGCACGGCCACGGCGCGCGTTTTCGCCCCTAAACGACTCTTTTAGCCGGCCCAAGTATAGATACCGTTATTAACGCGCGGGCAGTTTATATACACCTCTAGTGCATCGTTATGCGGCCCGGCTGCCAGACGCAAGTACGATTCCGCGGGAGCGTGTAAATTATCGTCGTTTCGGTAAATACGCGCGATGTCAGGCCGGTGTTTCGGGCGTTAATAGACGGTGACGGACGGGTTCGTTGAACCACCTTATTCAAGTAAGAATGCGCGACAATTTTTACGATTAACACCAAATCGGAGTAAGTGACGTCAACAACGAGACATTATCTTCATCTTGTTTTTCTAATCGATTGGATTCTGGCTAAAATACAATCGGAGAACATACAGAATAAGCAGGTCTAATTTATAAGAATGTCACGTTATTATTCCGTGAGAGTGTGTCGGAAAATATACAATAATAGATTCATGATGACAATATTTTATAAATTGTATACAAATTGAAGAAGTAAAAAGTTCTTTAACAAGAAGAAACAAAAAGTTCTCTAATAAAATATTCCTCTCAAAATGATACTACGAAGAAATATGTATCATAATATATCATGTATATATAAAGATGGGTCATACTTTCTGACGCGTCTCCGATATTCGCATAACGTCGCGCGTTTTTACAGCTGCCAGGCTCACACGAGTGAATTTTAGCTCGCGCGAATGGACACTAAGAGACGCGAACTGAATACAAGCTTTGAACACTCGAGTGACCGATGTTTCTAATGGTCCAACAGTCGCAAGAAGAAAGAAAGGAAACGCGAAGCAATCGCCGAGTATGTTACAAACAACAGACGAAGGACCGTGTTTACTCTTTGCACAATAGACCGAGCTTTCTTTTCGTTCACGTCTTACGAATACCTAAGATTGCTGTCTCGGACTCGGCTGATCGCGGGCAAAGAGAAGCTTGTCAACTAAATTCGTACCAGCTCCCGAACGGAACACGGCTGGTCATTACAACCAGTCAATACCACGAAAGACCGCGCACGTTTGCCTTGCATCCTGTACTGTACAACTGTGCACAACGGGCTCCCGACGGACCATAAGAAAAGTCTAGAAGCGCGAAGAGTAACTTTGTCGCTTCATCAGCGCGAAATTTCCAAGCGCGCACACGAGATGGAAGGACGCGTGCGACGGGACACAACGAGCAGATTCAAATCGACGCGTATCCAGGATTCTCATTAACTCCCGTTGTCGCGGGAAGTCGGTCACATGCCGGACAAACAATCGGGGAAAGCAGCACTTGCGTCGGCCACGCCGGCAACGACGACGTCAGACCGAATGAATTCGCGCGACACACAGAGCCCGGCTCGGCGAGTCTGTCGATGGCGAAAAAGCAGGCGACACCGCGATCAACGAAGTACTTCGCGATGTTCCAGTCGCGGAAAATAAATCGCGAGAGAGAAAGAGAGAAAGAGAGAGAGAGAGAGAGAGAGAGAGAGAGATGGAGAGAAAGAGAGAGAAGAGGAGCAGAGGGACGGAGGAGTCGGAGGTGCGCGTTGACGCTGCAAAACCGTCCGCGACCACCTACGCGCTTCACGATGCCAAGCAAGAAGGCGGACAGTCGATCGAGACGACTCGATAGGCGATAAAAAGGGGGAAAAACGGCGGAGCAAAGCGGCACTGAGAGACAGAGGGTCGGTCGAGAGGGACAGAGAGAGAGAGGACTTGCGTCACACTTGACAGTTGAGGAAGACGAGAAGACGTCTCGTTGCGGAATGTGCCGTTTCTAAGCGTAGATTTAGAACGCAATCGCGAACTGGTAATCGATATAACGCGAGAATTATACAGCAAATATTGAAGCAGGTTGGAAACGTTGATACGCTTGATTAATCAACGCGATCAACGAGGTGAGCGAGCGAGAGCGAGCCGCAAAAAGAAGGCGCGTCAATACGGCACAGAGATGCCGGGCGGAGCAGCCTGACACGTGACCACCTACGCGTCGAACGGCTTTAAAACAACAAACAAAAAAAAGACGGAAAGTGAAACCTTGAGGCGCGAGCAAAAACGGAAGACACGACCGATCGATCTCGTGGCGTCGATTTCGAGCATCGACTGCGATCGATTCGAATTTCGCGCAGAGAGCCACAGGGTCTCGGGTTTCTTTCGTCGGGACAATCCGACGGTGTCGATGAGCGATCGGGATGAAGTCATTTCGGCAATTACGTCAAGTCGAGAAAGAAAGTTTTTTTCGTATAGACAGCGGATCTTTTGGCCAGTTGGCGGAACCTCGCGATTCTGACTAGAATGAACGTTAGTGTAGAATTTTCAGGACACGAAGGGCGACATACGGCCTCGCGAGAGACGGCAGTTTCGTTGTTATTCGCGACGATCATTTTCTCATGCTGACTCTTGATGACTTCGTCTCGATCGTCGAGAAAATAGCACGGCAGCGCGATTTCGATTTCACCGTCGGCCGCGACGACTACGGGTTTGTCACCTTTAACCGACGCTGTGCATCGCCGCGCGCGACAAGTACGAATTAGTTATGCGCATCGAGATTCCCAGACGCAGAGGTAAAAAAAAAGTAACCGCAGATCTGCGTCAGACAATTAGTATAGAGAGACGATCGGCAAACAAGCCAAGGAGGATCGAGATAGACGCGAAGCTGTCCGCGCAAAAACGTTCCGACGTTCCGTGCGCCATTTTTCCGGAAAACATCAACCTTTCCGCGCGCGCGCATACATACACTCATCACACACATGCACACACACACAGACGCACGCACGCACGCACGCACGCACGCACTCCGTTCACATTTCGCTCAGATTTTTCGCACTTCTTCTTCGTGTCAGAATTTAGAAGATGTTGCAACGCAACAACGGATGATTGATGCGAGCGAAAGATCGTGCGCGGCCTGAACAATTTTCCACTATACGCGCAATTGGCGCGCGATAACCGGAGCAAATAATTTATAACTTCTACGTAATACGATATAGTTTATCATCGCTCGACGCAATCTACACCTCGTGACGCAAAATATCGCGAAGCACAGACGGCGGACTGCACAGCGTCTGCACACGTCAGCTTCACACCTATCTGTCTAAGCCTCTTTGGTAAAAACGGTCAGAGGAGACCAAAGAAACGAGAAGCACAGAGTGTGTGTGTGAGAGAGAGAGAGAGAGAGAGAGGGGGGGGGGATGAGAGAAAGGCTATCGGAGACAGGTGGTGAGAGCGAGAGAGAGAGGAAGAGTTCTTCGATGTTGTGCCCAAGTAGCGCGCGATTGGAAATCGCGAGATTCTCGTTACGCGCGCGCGCGCGACTCTGCCAGACATACCGATCATATATCGATAATGACAATAATAATAGTTAAAATTATTATAATCGCAGTAATAAGAAATAATAATAATAATTGTAAATGACAATAATAGCGATGACGAGTAATATATATAATAGCGATAATAATAAGATCACCAGATTAACGCCAAGTTTATCATAGTTACAAACACTTTTCGGGACCAGACAATGAGAACGTCTCATAATGATATAATATAGTAATAATAATAGTAATATAATAGTAATAATAAAATAAACACAATAATAATAATAATATAATATTGGTAAGAACGTCTCGGGGGTTTTTAAAATCTTCTCATGTATACATAGACACAATTGCCGAAAATTCGTCGCCCTACCGCGTTCTCTCTCACGTGTGTATATACATATATATTTTTTTCTCTATTTATATATATAATATATATTTTTCGTTTATATATAGAGACTCGCGCGCGTGTGTGTATATACATATATATTTATGTGTACTTACTCTTTATACAGAAGGGGTTTTTCGCGTGAGAGGGGATCTGTCTTGCTGTCTCGCTAGGATTTCGCACGCGCTTTTCCGACACGCGTTCCCTCTCCGATGTGTGCGCCCTGTCCCGTTTTTTTTTACATATAATCTGTCCCTCTTTTTTTTTACTTCGTCGCGCCGCGTACTCTTTGTCTCTCTCTCTTTCCTTCTTTCTCTTCGTCTTTCCTTCGCTCTTATCTTTCTCTCTCTCTCTCTCTCTCTTTCCCTTTCCTCCGTTTATTCCAGCTCCCGCGTCTGCTTTCCGAAAGTCTTCGCTCGCCGGCGGCGATGACGAAAACGATGATGACAATTCATGCTCTCGTTCTCACTTAACTTACTAGCGCTTTATCTAGTACATTATTTACAGTCCGTATTTACTTATGTTACATCATCCGCTGAGAGTTTGCACCAAGCAAATCCCGCGCGAACACAGCACTCGTCCCTACGTACGTTCCTTTCTTGTTACGCCCGTTCGTCCGTCCGTCTGTCCGTTCGTATTACGCTCGACAGATTCTTTTCGCGACAAGTGACAAGGGGAAATCACGTCCGCGCGCGCGACGACGTCACCCTCGCGGTATATGTCTCTCTCGTGTCCGATATTAGGATCTCGCCTTGTTCGCGAGAGGGAGAACGCACCTTCATTCTGCCTTCAGCCGCACCCTCGCGAGTCCACTTTGCGTCCGCGCACCCCGTTCAATCGAGCCATCCCCTTTCTCCGCCGGCGGAAATCGCCGGATAAGAGAAGCACTTTCTGCTCACCGACGACGACGACGACGACGACGACGACGACAAAACAACAACAACAACAACAGCAAACAGCCAACAAGGTCCACGGTCCAGCCAGGACTCTACGAACGGACGAACGGGCACCGACCTAGCCGCGCGGAGGAGGAACATCATCACCATGGGCGTCGTTATAGGTATCCCTCGAGAGAACGGCACAGTGGCTCGCGCGTGTCGTTTGCGGTCGTTGCGAACAACACGACGAGGACGTTTCATCACTCGGTCAGCCGGAACACACTTCGTCGATGGAAGAAGTGATAGCCGGCGAAGCGCGCGAGCAACAATGAGACGACTATGACGACGACAATGATACTTGGGCGACGATATCCTGAAAGGATCCGGGCGATGGATGATCTCGCGACGTTGCGCCGACGGGATACATTGACGACGCGACACGGCGTTCTGTCGTTCCCTTCGTCTGTCCTTCTCTTATTCCCTTCTATGTCCCTTGCATCCTCTCTTGGCCTCTGTTGCGCGGTCAAGGTCGACAAAAGATCGCCGACCGAGCGCGTCAGCTCAGCCTCCCCGGTGGACCGGTCTCGGCCTCATTAAACCCCGTTGAACCTCGCCGAACAAGCCACCATTCCGTACCTCCGTCTCGGTAACGAGCGTCGCCGTCGTTCGGCAGGTAGGAAGGGCGCTGCGAATCCGTCAGCTACGACGTCGTGTAACTGCCGGTGCGCGCTTGAAGGTAGTGATGATAGAACGGCGGCAAACTCTCCGCTGTCGACGACACGTTTGCCGAGTTCTGCGAGGAGGTTATCGCGAGGCCCAACGGGGGAGGCCCCGGCGAACGCTAGTGAGCCGTGAGTGAATGGGCAGTGATGCCCTGAGGGCTCAGCATCGGCGGACTGTGGCTATGGCCCATAGGTGAGCCGTGCAGGTGATCTTGCGGATGATAACTCTGGTGGAGGCCACCCTGGCCCTGGTGACCCGGCGGCATACCCTCCATGATGCCGTCGCCGAGTGTGTTGGGCGGCGTCATTCTCTTCTCCTTTTGCCGTCGATTGCAGAACCACACCCTAACGACTTCTTTCTCGAGCTGCAGGCTGTCCGCCAGTGAGGTGATCTCCTGCGCCGACGGTTTCGGCTGCTTGTGGAAGTGCTGCTCCAATGCACCCTTCACCGACACCTCGATCGACGTCCGCTTCTTCCTCTTTCGACCCTGCGCAGCGATCTTGTCGATGCTCGTCGGCGAGCCGGTCGTCGAGTCCGCCTCCTCGAGCCACTTCTGCAGCAGCGGCTTCAGCTTGCACATATTCTTGAAGCTCAGCTGTAGAGCCTCAAACCTGCATATTGTCGTCTGCGAGAAGACGTTGCCGTAGAGAGTACCGAGCGCGAGACCGACGTCCGCCTGGGTGAAGCCGAGCTTGATGCGGCGCTGCTTGAATTGCTTGGCGAAGGCCTCGAGGTCGTCCGACGTCGGCGTGTCCTCCTCGCCGGCACTGTGATCCCTGTCGAGGGGATGGCCAGCGTGCAGCGGATGTCCCGACGGTGGACTGTGATTGTGCGCGTCCCTCAAGTGATGAGGTAGCCCGGCCTGATGGTTGTGCAGCTGATGCGGATGCTGATGCGGGTGCTGGTGCAGCATGCCGTTCATCGCTGCGTGGTACTGCTGGAGCGTGGTGGGCGAGGCTGCACCACCGCTAGGGTTGTAATGCGCCGACGGTACGACCGGTGCATGCCAAGAATGTGGCGATGCCATACCCGGGGATTGATGCGGTCCCCGATGATGCATGCCTTGGTCCGTTGCCGTTGCCGCCGCCGCCGCGGTCAACGGCTTCACATCGAGACTCGCATTCGCTTGATGAGGATGATGATGCGGATGATGGGTAGTATGGTGCATACCCATCGACGCGGCCCAAGGATCACTGCCCGGTTGTAAGCTCACCCAGGGATTCGCCGACGAGAGACTCGCCGCCGGATGCGACAGTCCATTTGGCGACGGCGAGGACGTCACCTGGTGATGATGGTGATGGTGGTGATGATGCTGCGGCGCCGGCATGTACTTCATCTCGCCGGCGTCGGCGGCGCTGCGAGGCGAGCCCGAGGAGTAGCCACCCACGGCGATGTTCATCCCGATCGTTGTACCTGAACCACCATCCAGGTCGGTAGAGACTGCGCTACTAATCGGCATGTACGTGGTAGCGGCCATCTACTTTTCCGCGCGTCGAGAGGCTTCGCGAAACCCTCTCAATGTATTCCCACTGTGGGGCGCACCACAGGGCACGTTTCTCGCGAGTAACCTTTCCGAGTAGAACGCTGGTCGCCGATGATGTTGGATTTTTTAATTCATCAATGGACGAGAAAAGGAGACGTAATTAGAGAGAGAGTCTTTATGATCCAATCGTCGACAGAGTCTCTCTCTCTCTCCGTGAGATCTTGAACAGAGAGACGTTGTCGATGGCGTGGCTATCCACCTGACGACGACGTGTGCGCGCGCGACCGCGAACGGTCGTCGATGAAGTAGTTCCTTTTTTTAGTAATCACTGATCACACGTAGCACCGTCCACAGTTCGCGACAACGCACTGGGTGACACCAGGCGATGGTGGTTCTCGGTAAATTGTCGTCCATAGTTTCTCACGAATGTTATATAAACGACGACACGGTAACATCGATCGCGCAACGGATATACCGTTCCCCTGATCTTTCTCTCTCTGACGGGGTGGTTCCCCGCGGAGGCAGTACGTCGCTCCTGAACGGAGCACCGCTCTGTCGCGGCGCTCCACCTGACACCTGACTCGCTCGCCTGCCGTGGATCTGATGTGGAACCACTTGTTCCCGCACGAGAATCACACGCGAAACTTTCCTCTTGGCTCTGTGTTAGCCGACTCGCTCGAGTCGGGGTAGTCACTCGCGACGAGGGTATCGATTCAGTCGACGATCACTCATCCCTGTAGTAAGGGATTCGAACTTGCCGAGTAATCACTATTTCGTCTCGGCGACGACGATGTCTGCGGTGAGGCGAGTGTTACTCCGCACTGGCGTCGTGTCCGTGGTTTCGACGTGGTGGACGCGTACCGACGACGACGATGCACGACGCGACTGCACTCGGGGGTTGCCACCGCGGACCGACCGAGCAGCGAGCGAGCGACCGACCGGCTCGGCGTAAAGGGACGTACGACGGTAATCGCGGAACGGAAGAGACTCGACTCGGCGGGAGTAGAGTAGGTATATGATGTCGTGCGTGTGTGTTCCTCCTGGCGGTGGATGTCCCTCTCTTTACGTGAGTGTACGTGTGCGTATACATACGTATATGTGTGTGCGTGAAAGAGTGTGTGGGTGAGAGAGTACCAGGACAGAGAGAGAGAGAGAGAGAGAGAGAGAGAGAGAAAAGGAGAGTGAGTGAGGGAGAGAGAGAGAAAGAGACAGAGAGAGAAAGAGAGAGAAAGAGCGAGAATGTGTACGTTTGTGTGTGTGTATGTGTATGTGTGTGTGTATGTGTCGTGTATGTATGTGTGTGTGTATAGCAGCGGAGGAGAGACGGGTTAGAAAGATCTCGCTCGGGCTCTCATGCGTTATGCATGTCGTAGCTGAGAGCGACTGACTGCCTCGCCTCGCAGCTTGCCCGAGGTTCCCGAGGTTTCCGGAGCACTTGGTGGAGGTTCGTCATGCGCGCCAGCGTCGTGCACATCCCTACCACAGCAGGTTGTGCGGCTCGCAATTGGTTGGACTCGCAAGGTGGCCGTCGACGTACGTCAGCATCAGGCGGAACCTAGTGTGACCGCGCCTACGAGGCAGGCGAGGCACCCCAGGCGCCAGTCCTTTTACCCCCCTTGCCGTCGTTCGACTACGTTCGCCTGGCTAACGACGCTCGTTCGCTGACGCCGCTGCCGCTGCCGCTGCTGCCGCCACCGCCGCCGCCGCCGCTGTCGTCGCCGCTGCTGCCGCCGCCGCCGCCGCCGCCGCCGCTGTCGTTGCTGCGTTGCGCTGCGCCGCGCCGCCGCTGTACCACGACAGCAACCGCCGCCACACCGTGCTGCGCCGCGCAGCAACCGCGTCGTTCCGTTGCTACAGCTGCAGCCGCCGCCGCCGCCGCCGCCGCCGCTGCCGCCGCCACCCGCCGCAACACAGAGAGGCGCGACTCAGACTCCACGCGCGGCAGCGCGCTCGTCGCACATTCGCCGTTCGTTGACGTAGCATACACTTCGCGACTTCTTCTCTCAGGTGCATACAATTCTTACTCTTCTCTCTCCGGTTCTCCACGTTTATGTATGTTCCGTCAAGCGTCGAGTTCTTCTCTCAGATTACGGTCGCTTTCGGCAATTTTTCACGAAATTACGCTCGCAGACGATCGCCGATGTACGAGTCGCCGCTGTCGCGACGTACGCACGCACGCAACAGGTACTAATTTCAGATAATTGTATGCACAGTGAGGCACGATAGACGTCACGGCTGCTCGAGTATTTCTTTCTTTTTTGCGGACAAAAATATATTTCGCGCGGGTATCTGCGTAACGTGCGAATTACATATGCGGGTCACGTGAGGTGCATTATTAATCTCAGCAATGACAAACTCCGTGAAATTATCACGTAATAACCTTGTCAAGATCTAATAGATGACTGCAAGATCCTCATTCTGCCCGTCGAGCTGTCAGCTTAACTGTCAGCAACTATCAACGACTGTGAGCAACCGGTAGCAGCTGTTAGCAGCTGTTAGCAACTGTCAGAAATTGTCAGAAACTGTCAGCAAGTATCAGCAACTGGCAGAAACGTATATCCAAGAGCGCGAGTCGACTCCGTTACTGCTAGATTCCTTTACCGAGGACCGCGACGGCACAGCCGTCACGTACGCGAGCGAAAGATCAATTTTTCAGGCACAGCCGCGGTACAATCCTGCCCGTCGACAGTTTCATTTCCTTTTCGCATAGCTCGCGGTGCAACAGGTGCACGGGTAACCGTTGGCCTCGACTCGTCTGCTGATTACGTACGCCTTCGTTATCGATACGTCCTGCCATCATCCCTTGTCGCCCTAGCGAACAGAAGAAGAAAGATAACCCGCCGATAAAGCTCCGTTTTGCAACCGGTTTCGCGGAGTTTTCCCCCCAAAAGCGATGAGGAAAGTAGACGCAACGGCTACAGATACTTTCAATCAGGAAGTAAACTAATAGTCTCGTAGTAAAAGTCCCTACAGCTGATTACGGCCAGGTGCCCGGAAAATATGATCAACGCCGCTCAGTTCCTGAAAAAGTCGAGAACTTCTGATTACTCGCGATTCAACTTGAGTTTGTGCACACAGAGAATTCAATCGAAGATCAATCGATCGCCAATTATGCAACAGCAACAGGTACTCGGATCAACTGATTAATTACAGAGAAAAGTGTCCGATCCCCGCCCGCGAGAAAGAGAGGGAGAGAGGTGGTATCAATAGGGACGGAACGAACAAAAAGCGAGCGAGCGAGCGAGCGAAAGCAAGTAAGTGCTACTGAGGAGAGGGAGCGTGAGGAGGGGGCGAGGGGGACGAACGCGCGCGAGTGAGCGAGGTTTAGTACATTTAAATGAGAGCCACAGGTAGCAGCATTATGCAGTACGTGCCAGCCACCCCTCAGGAGGGGTGAGTTAGATCATCGTGTGCCGCGGGATCCTCCTGTGTCGTAGTCTGTTTCAACTACCCGGCTGGCTTTGCTCGCCTTCGCACCTGTGGCCGCGCTCGCGTTATTGTTGCCGCTAACTTCCTTCTCCTTCTTCTTCTTCATCTTCCTCCTCCTCCTTCCCTTTTTTCTCTTTATTTCTCGCGCGTGCGAGGAAGCGCGGCTAATTATCGCTCGTACAAGACGTACGTGAGGCTTTCTGTGCTTCGAGCGTTACGATAAGAAAAAAATGGACGAGAGACTCATACTTGCTGTCTTCCTCTTATCCTGCGATCCGTGTGTTACGGTAGAGGAATTGATTATTTAAGGGATATTTAAGGAACCGATAATTACTCACGTTGCTTCTAACATTATCCAATTGATATAAAATCTGCAATTAAAGCCCAATTAATATCTAATCGCATGCAGAGCAGAATATTATTTTATGTTAATAACAACATCGCTACTGAAATTATTTGCTGAAAACCCGACGTCCACCGACGAGGATCGTCTGGTCGTTGATTTACGAAGTCGTGGCGATTTTCTGCGAATCGACCATAAAAGACGGCAGTATTAACGGTCGTGTCGCTAGTCCGAATGCTAAAAGATTCCACGACTTAGCGAACACAGACGCGCTAAAAGTCTCTCTCACCGTTCGTGGGAATTCCTACGAGGCATTCTCCAAATAATTTTCCGCAAAGTGCAACAGTTGGCCGTGGTGTTTCTAGGTCGGCATGGTAAAACTGAAGCCGTCTTAGCGCATATCGCGGAAATCGTGTCGGTGCAAGCTCGTTATACTCAAAATATCCCGATGCTTCCGACATCATCGCCGCTCTAGTGGCTGTACATTCGCCAATGACAGTCGGGAATTCGCGGGATCGGCGAAACTTCACCTCGACGGCGTTCATTGTGTTTCCTTTATCGCCACCGCCGCCAAGTGGGTGCGAGCTCTCGCAAAGACTCCGTCGCCGAGAGAAAAATTATGCATTCCGCGTGTACGCGAGTGTACGTTGCCCACGAAGGCGGCCTCCGGAATTTCTCTCGCCTTTCGTCCCCTTTCTCCGTTCTCCCGTCGCGAGTACTCGGGCAGAGCTTATCTCCTGAGCTTATCTCGGACCCTAGGCGAAGTACCGACTGAAATGTTGTGAACTATTATTGAATATATTCAGCAACGAACAAACATCGTTTCGGCCTCAACAGAGTTCCTCAAGTAAGAGTTGGAGCACCGCGTGATGATTCCTGATTGGTTCGCAACTTGCCGAGTCGAAATTTTAGCTCCACTTTTAATCTGGATTTTCTGGCATTTGCATATCCTGAAGGATCAGTGCATATTTAATACGTATCAAGTCATACTTAGCGGCTCTAAATGGCGGAAAAAGGCATAAACGTTATTTGTAGGTTCTAAAAAAGACTTTCAGCAAAACTAGTGGTTTAAATTGGACCAAAAAAGGTGGTGATGGGCTTCAAGATATTAAAGTAGGCGTTAATGGAATGTTGAGGTCGAAAGTAGCATCAAATTTTCGACTGAAGCTATCTGTCATTAATGGGGAATAAGCAAATAGGAGTGAAAAAGCAACTGTGATGACTGAAATGGTGAAAGACGTTGCAGCTTCTCTTTCACTACCGTGAGTTTCTTCCCTATCGATGGCGGACAAGGGTTAGGTGTCCTAATTCTTACTCGAGAAACTCGAGTCCTCAAGATACGTATAACGTTATTTACATGCAATGTCCTTCATGTTCAAACGCGGGCACTTCCGTTGGTCGGCGAGACGCGACGAAAAGATCGGCCATCCGTCTTTTCTGCCCCTTTTCGCGGTTTTATTTTTTCTTTAATCCTTTTCTCCTTTCTTTTACCTTCTGCTGCTCGGCGACTTTTCGCGGCGACGTGACACGTTACGCGGTGATCTACGAGCGACCGATAGAAGGCTGTTGCGAGACGCATAAATTCGCGTTCGTTACGCGCGCAACGGTGGCTCGCCGTCGCGAGTGCCACCGCTCGTCGTAGGACATTTTAAACGAGCAATAGAGGGGCAGAGGGGCAGGGAAAGTGGACAATAATAGAATCATCTTTACATATGTATCGGCGGAGTGACAGATTATGAATGGCGCTGCTTAAAATGCCGAAGACGGATCTTCGTCGAGCGCTCGCTCGCTCGAACGAGGCGATATGACGCGTACAGTTTTAACGCAACGCGCGCACACGCATCCTCGTACCTTCGGCTGAGTGCATAATATCGACTGAGAGCGAAAGAGGGTTGCGAGAGAGAGAGCCAGTAAGTCAGGCAGGAGTAGGGGAGCTTGACTCGTTACTCGCGAAGCACTCGCAAACAAAATTATGGAGTATCCCGTAGACTACCGTAGCAAGGTAGACAAGAAGGTAGATCGAAAGAAAACATATCGAGAAGTTTAATATTTCTTTTTGAAAGCTGCATTTTTCATGACGAAGAAGAAGCACGCGCCAAGTTCCCACATAATGTTGTATGTGGAGCGGTTATTTGTAGCGTCATCGGGTCGAAAAGTGCAACAATCGTCATCTACTAACGAAAACACTGAGAAGAGAGACTCCTCTGTCGCTTGTTTTGCTCGATCGACCATACAACACGTCCGTAGTGCAGAGAAACCTGCGGTTTCTCCTGTCGCATCGATCGTTATCTTCACGGTTGCTCGCAACCGTCTCGATCGATCGAGTGGGTCGCGCCGTCATAATGCATCCTTAATTCGATTTCGTGTACCCTCATTGTGTCAAATTGGATTGAATGCTGCCGTGAAATATTTGCTTAGGATCCGGCAGGTAGCTGGAGCTCTACTCTCCACGTCGCACACGGTGCACGGAGTGAAAATTGGGAAGGAAGACAGATGAGGGATGCTGTGGGGATGTGGCGAGCAAGGGAAAGAAAGAGAAAGAAGGGAAAGACAAGCAAACGTAGCAATGACCTAGCTATGAAAACCTTTACTACCTGAAGCTGAACAATCGACTTGGATAATTTAAGCGTTCCT